ATCACCACCACCATGGGCCTCCGCTGATTGTTCGGCCGCCCCGCCGCCCTCTCCAGCCGCCTGCGCTTCGGTCTCTTCAGAGCCCTAAGCGTCAGAGAACAGTTAAACAGCCGCAGAAGCCTCCCAAAGGAGGTTCCCTCTAACCTCCGGGTAAAAGGATTCTCTTCCTCTCCTCTCCTCTCCCACCACCCCTCAAGGCCTGCAACTCCCTTTGTGCCCATCCTAAACGTGGGAAGAAGGAATACAGAGCTCGAGATTTGTAAGGAACAGGGAACGCCAACGCTGAAAATAAAGACCAGGGGCAGAGGACCTCAGGCTGCTTAGGTAACCCTGGAGGTGGTACACCAAAGAGAGTCAAGCCTGTCTCCTGGCCTAGAGCATTCTGTGATCAAACCTCTAGAATCCGTCTCAATTTCCTCCCCAAGTTTGCAGCAAACAGCTCTGGGCAGAGCGCTCACGAGCTCCCCCAATGCTGGCCAAAGAGCCCAAAGCCCAAATCCAGACCTGATGGAATGCAGGACATTGTCTTCTCCCTGCCAAATAGAACCTGGAAAGCATTTACTAAAGAATTTTAGTTAGGTCCGGCCAATGTGGCTCAGTGATTGAGCATCGACCCATGCACCAAGAGGTCACCAATTCGTTCCTGGTAAGGACACATGCCCAAGTTTGGGGGTGTGGGGGGGGAGGCATGCAGGAGGCGGCCAGCGGATGTTCTCTCTCATTGATGTTTCTCTCTCTTTCCCTGTCACTTCTTCTCTCTCTAGAATCAATAAAGGGAAAAAATAATTTTTTAAAGAATTCGAGTTGGGCAGACTAGAGCATATCCAAGTGACAACTGCAGTGGAAGGGGACCCTAATACGTTCAGAAACGACTGGGTGGGGATGGCGGGGACTCTGGACAGGGGGCAGGGGCGCGAGGTCCGGTCCTTTCAGCCTGCTGGATGTGCAGGGTCTCACTGAACAAGAGATCCCTGGCTCTAAAAGACCGGGATGTGCTACTAATAGAGACCTCTTGTGGAGTCCTCGGAATACAATCACCTGGTTAATTTGTGTGGAAAGGTGCGTTTGGTGCCTGGCCCCGCTCTTCTGGCCACAGGAAATCCGGGAGATCCCGAAAGCTTGCTTTGAGCACCAGACCTGATCTTAGCGGCCAGCTGGTCCCGCACCGGCCACCCCAGAGTCCGAAGACTACTACTGGGAAACTTTGATTTTATGATCTTCCTCTAACAAGCCGAGTTTCTCCCCTTCAATTATGAGCCTCTCAGGGGTCTCCCTGCTCCATTTCCATTGCAAATATCAGCGCTTTGGAAGCGGTTGCGGGAACCGCGCGGGCGACGAAGAGACAAGGAAAATGGACTCTCAAGGTCCCTAGAGAGACAATGAGCGGAGCGGATCCGGCGCAGAGCGGGACATCAGGAAGCAAGGCGGAAGCGACCTCCAGCTCCCTCCCTGCCCTGTTGCCTCAAGGCCAGGTGAAGAAGAAAAAAGAGAGCACGGGCTGGGTGACCGTGGAGTAGGAAGCCAGAGATCCAGGAGACAGCCTGTGCGGGCAAGGGAAGTGTGGCCCTGAAAGTGCTCCTGGAAGGGGACCCTGCGACCCTCTCGTGTAGAAGATCTCGGATTTGTTGAGGCCGAGGTGTAGGCGGCGTGAAGAAACTGGCCTTCGATGAATTTGGCTGGGGCCCACTTCAAGGCGCCGTTGTCAGCATTCCCTCTTCTTGATCAATTCCCATGAGCCAGGATACCCACAGCAAAGCGGTTGTCTCTCATGTGCTCTGAGGTACAGGCCCCTAAGCGGAAGAAAGGAGACTTGATCCACAGTCCAGTGCTAATTAGATCCAAGCAGAAAGGTACATTACGCTGGGGGAAGGGATGGAGAAATTGGGAACTAAATGGAACCAGGTGGTTCCACGGTGAAGAAAGGAGCAGGCTCCCTGGAAGGCGTTTGGTGGTGGAGGGGGACTCCTCTCCCAAATGATAACTCATGGGACATGCAAAAATAGACACTTCTCGCCAAAAGACCATTTTCCACCCAATCCAAGAATTTGCCTGGCCCTTCCTCATTCCTGGAGCCTGCCGGGGTTCTCAAGAGACAACCCACTCCTTCTCCCTTGGACAGAGGTGTAAGAGGAGGGACCATAGGAGGATCTCTTCTTCAGTGTTTGGATTGAGGAATTTTTTTTTTGGCAAGTTATTTATTCAGCAGCTGAGTAACAATGGCTAAGACAGGCCCACCGCCCCCATTTCCACACTCTCCCTGCACCACCACCCTCCATGCCTCCACCCCCACCCCCTCCACTCCTGGAGAACCAACTTTCCTCTTGGGACTGGACAGGGCAGAGAGCTCCCACTGAATGGGGGGAGGGGAAGACAAGGAGAAGGGAGTCTAAGAAAGGCAGACTGGAGAGAGAAATAGACACGAAAAGTAATGGGTTCGAGGAACACGATTCAAATCAGTTCTGATTCTTGCAGGGGAAAAAAGAGGAAGGAGGGGGAGAATGGAGAAAAGAAAAAGTAGGAAGAGAAAGAGGAATGGGGAGCGTCGACATGAAGGGGTTTCCTTAATATTGTGGACGGATTCAGAAATGAATGAAGAGATAGTCCATTGAAAAGGGTTGAATGCCATGACAACTAGGAACAACCTTAGATTTATTCCAAACAGTTAGGACACACTGAAAGAGAGCGTCAATCATGTATTATTTCACCACTGAAATAAATGCAAAAACCGAGCAGGGACAAAGGCTTCCAACGGCAGCGGGACATTTGTCTACATTTCGCTCATTGTCCGCAGCTTAGCAATCGGTTTGTATTTGTGTTTGCCCGGGTTCGACCACCCAGGAAGCGCCGACAAGAAGCTCGCTCTAACCTGAGCCATTGTCACCCACGTCACATACTAGAGGCGAGGCAGCGAGGGCTGCAGAAGGCCGCGGAGCGGCTCGGGGAGAGGCACCCTCGCCGGGAGCCGGCAACCCGGGGGCGACAGGGGTGCAGAGGCGGGCGCAGCAGCGAGCGCAGCTGCCCGCGAGAAGGACTCGGCGCGGACGCGCTCAGAAGGTCCGGCGCTGCAGGGGCCGCTGAGGGGGGCGGGGGAAAGGGAGAGACGTGGACTCAAATGCGCCGCTTTGACTTGCCCCTCCTGCCGCCAGGCAAAGCACCTTCCTGAAACTCTGTAGGGTGCAGACTTGCAAAAGGTAGCAATCCCCCACCACCCACCCAAAAAATCTGAAGGGGGGGGGGTGGAAGTGCGGCGCCACAGACAGGTGCTGTGGTGCTGTCCCAGGAAAGTTCTGTTCTCAGGCTGTCGAGAGTTTGAGAATGTAACCCACACCTAATGCAAGCTGGGAGCCTGGATCGTGTCCTCAAAATGCGTCTCTGGGGAGTCCAAAAGGGGACGAAATCAAAAGACTCGCTTGGAAGAGGAAAATGTGGCATCACCTGCCCGCCCTGCGACTCCCTACTCCTGCGGCTTTCGGGGTCCTCATCCCGGCATTAGACAGCGCCACCAATCCTTGCCCCCCCCCCCCTCTCCCGCCCCTGCTCTCCACAACTGCTGGAGGCTGCAGAGGGAGGGGCTGGAGAGAGTGACTTATTAGGGGGCAAGAAGGTTGCAGGGCCGTCCGCCTTGCCCTCCTCCTACGAGAGAATGCAGCCCGGAGGAGTGGGGGCCCCGGTACCAACCCCGCCTAAATTTGAATTCCCAACCCCCACCCCGCCCCCTCCCAGAGCCGCCTGCAAAGCCACAAGTGAACTGAGCAGCCTTTCTCTGGCGCGAAGAGATGGAGGGGGAGGCGGAGTGAAGGAAATAAGTCTTTAGCAAATAAAGAGTGGCTTGGGGAGGAGGGTGTTGTCGCCTGGTGGTGGCTTCGGCCAGACCCAGCCGATCTCTCATCTGGGTTTCGGGCTTTTTCGGCATTATCTAGAATCAATTAGTTGCCTTGTCATTTCTAGTACTCATCCTTAAGCCTCAACCAAAATATTGACCTAGGAGGCTTACAGAAGTTGGGCTCTTGCCATTTGAACCGGATCTTGTTTAGGGAGTCACCAGAGATGGGAAGGAGAGATTTCCGTGGCCCGGTTTTCGCCTCCTCCCACTTTTCCAAAAGCTCCACAAATCGCCAATTTTCCAGCTTGTGGGGGCCGGCGCGCGGGGCGGGGAGATAGTAACCAGTGAATGTTAAGGAGGATTTTTTTTCCCCTCCTCTCGGTTTGTTTAGTTTTCTCGCCTTCTCCCCCACTTTTTAAAAAATACAATTTGTTAAAACGGCTCTTTCAAGTGTACGGACTCGCAGAGACTCGGTGGTTCTTTGTATGTAAATACTGGGTGGGAAAAAAAGGGGGCTTGCCTCGTCTTTGCAATTAATTGACACGTTACACCTCTCATCTCGCTCTGGAGAGCCGTCGGCTGGGAGCTCGGAGCTCCCCAAAACCCACAATTTCAAATCTGCAAATACAGTCTTCATCCACTTGACATCCAAGACCCGCCCACACGTGTCCAACCTTTGGGTTTTAATATCTCCCCCCCCCCGTTTTTTCCACCCTTTTCTTACTCCCTCCCGTCCCTCCCTCTCTATTTCCCTCCCCCTCTTTCTTCCCCCTTCCCCCCTCTCCCCAGGTTCGCGAGTGGAGCCCAGCCTTATATGGACTGATCGCTCGGGCAATGGCCCATTTTTTCCTCGCCACCAGACGCCACCGCGCGCCGAGCGGCCGCCGAACCCTGAGCTGACGCTGCTTTGGCACCCCTCCTGGAGTTACAAACTAGGTCCCCGAACTCAGGCCGCCCAGCCCCCTGCGTCCATTTCCGCGTCTTTTCAGAGAAGACGTAGGCGCTGCTTTGGGTTTTGTACCCCCCTCCACTTCCCCACAGTTTTTTCTCGTTTATAAAATAATTATATCAATAATTAAAGCTCCACCCGCTCCCCTCCCCTAATCCCTTACTCCCATTACCCCCTCCCCGCCCCAAGTGGGGAGCGCCAAGAATTGACCAAGTGAAGCTACAAGTTTGAGGCATAAATTCCGAGGTCCCAAGCCATGTCTCTGACCAACACAAAGACAGGATTTTCGGTCAAGGACATCTTGGACCTGCCGGACACCAACGATGAGGACGGCTCGGTGGCCGAAGGGCCGGAAGAGGAGGGCGAGAGGCCAGAGCCCGCCAAGAGGGCCGGGCCGCTAGGGCAGGGCGCCCTGGACACGATGCAGAGCCTGCCTCTGAAGAATCCTTTCTACGACAGCAGCGACAACCCATATACGCGCTGGCTGGCCAGCACCGAGGGCCTCCAGTATTCCTGTAAGTAGTGAAACTTGGCTGCCTTGTTCGTGGCCACCTCTATTCCTGTGGCCGCGTCGCTAGACGCAGTGGGGGGAAAGGGGAAGGAGCCCCTGAAGCCAGGATCTCTCACCCTGCGCTTCTACAAAGATTTAAAAATTCTATTTAGGATGCCTTAATCGTTTCCTTCTCATCAAGAGCTCCTAGTCCCGTAAAATGACTTGGTCTCATATTTTTTTCAAAGAGAAAAATTAAGAAGAACTGGGCAGGGGAATGACTCCCAAAGCTGGTTACAGAAGTCAACCGGGGCTGATGGCTCCCGCTCCCATTACGACAGCCCGGAGAGCCTGGCCTAGAGCACTGGAGCGAGCCAGCAAGCCTCGCGTACCGGTAGAGGGTGGGGGAGGCGCCTGGTGGTCTGGGTATAAATAGCTCACCCTGCCCCTTGAATGATCTTAGAGGACGCTTTGTGCGGAGCGGAGGTGTCAAAAAAAAGTCCTAAAACAAAAACTGAAAGTCCCCAAACACCTGTCTTATATGACTGAGCCGATTAATGCCCAGATTGTGGAGTTTTTCTTTTAAAAATCGCCCACGCCTCTCCGGAAAGAAATCAGCTGAAAGGGGCAGAAGCTCTTAACCCTTGATGATCTCCGCGCGCCATTGCACCCAAATATGCACCTACACTGTGCGAACCCCTATAACACAAGCCCCGAGTCCCCGATCCTGCCACTTCTCTTTAGCCTGGCGGACGCCGATGGCTTCCTCAGACGTGGAACAGGGCAGGAGTAGGGGGTGAGAGGTAGCAAGGGAAAGGCAGTGGGTCTGGCTGCGGGGCGCGGAGGGTCGACGGCGCGCGGAGGATCTGGGCGCGCAGAGTTTGGCTCCTCCGGCGCGCGGCCTCCAGATGCCTGATGCGCTTCTCTCTCCCTCAGTGCATGGGCTGGCGGCTGGAGCGGCGCCCCAGGACTCGAGCTCCAAGTCTCCGGAGCCTTCAGCCGATGAGTCACCGGACAATGACAAGGAGACCCCGGGCAGCGGGGGGGACGCGGGCAAGAAGCGGAAGCGGCGGGTCCTCTTCTCTAAAGCGCAGACCTACGAGCTGGAGCGGCGCTTTCGGCAGCAGCGGTACCTGTCGGCGCCAGAGCGCGAGCACCTGGCCAGCCTCATCCGCCTCACGCCCACACAGGTCAAGATCTGGTTCCAGAACCACCGCTACAAGATGAAGCGCGCCAGGGCGGAGAAAGGTATGGAGGTCACGCCCCTGCCCTCACCACGCCGTGTAGCCGTGCCTGTTTTGGTCAGGGACGGAAAACCGTGCCACGCGCTCAAAGCCCAGGACCTGGCAGCCGCCACCTTCCAGGCGGGCATCCCTTTTTCGGCTTACAGCGCGCAGTCTCTACAGCACATGCAGTACAACGCACAGTACAGCTCGGCCGGCACCCCTCAGTACCCGACAGCACATCCCTTGGTCCAGGCCCAGCAGTGGACTTGGTGAGCGCCGCCCCTTCGAGACTCGGGGCCCCAGGCCTAGGCTCCACCCCGGCGGCAGCGGCCGTGGCGAGGAGAACTTGTTCCTTATGGTAGTTATTATTATTGTAATTATTATCATGGAGTCGAGTTGACTGTCGGCTCCGTTGGGGAGGCGCCTGGAAGTTGCCTGCACCTCCTTAGAGTGGCAGATTCCATCCCCACAGCGGTGCCCCGTCCCTCTCTCCTTTTGAACCTTTAGAGAGGGCTGAATGTTTGCGCAGCTTCGCTTCTTTGCCTCTCCCCGGGCGGAGCAAATCGACTCAGCATTAATGCCCTAACTCCAGAAGGAGAAAAAGGCCAACTTCCCTTCCCCTCCCCCTGCTTTTGTGAATTTTGTTAAATATGTTTGCGTGAGTAGCAATTTTGTCAACAGTCTTCTTCTAAAGTAAGTGGAGAACACTTTAAAATATAGAGGGTTTTTTCTCCTTTTTATAAGAAAATGCTAAAATATTTATGGCCAAACGTTCTGACAACTGGTGGCAGATTTCGCTTTTCGTTGTAAATATTGGTGGTGAGTATTGCCAAAATGACCTTCAGGATGGGCCCAACCAACTCCTTTCTTTGTGGTTTGTTTGGGTTTGGTTATGTTTGGTTACTTCTGTTTTTCTTTTCTTTTTATTTTGTTCAGTGCAAACATTTCTTTATTTAAAAAAAAAAAAAAAAAAAGGAAATGTATAGGCGCGAAGCCCCATGCCCCATCGTCTGGGGCCTGGGCCCTGGGCCCTGGGATTTGGAGCTCAGTGGTTCCATGAGCGCCAGGCTCTGAAAGCTTTCAATTTTTTAAATAATAATTTTAATAAAAATTCTGTGTTAAAAAAAAAAAAAATGCCCAGCCCTCCCGTTTGTCATACTTTGTCACCCTGCGCCTGGCTTAGGCTTTTGGCAAGGACCCTGGCCAAGTCATTTGCAGCTCTGTAACCCACGCTCCTCCTCTGGGTAAGGAGTGGGGACCAGACCAGGGGTCCCCGGGGCGCAGGAGAGGCTCCCGGGCCGGCCTCGCATCTCATACTCTTGGGTGGGGAACGAGCGCTTGCGAGCTGTGGACTGGAAGCTCAGGGTAGCCCGCCTTCACTCTTGCCTCTCCACCGGGCTTGCGCGCGGTCTAAATCCCGGGTGGCAGCGTCCTGGCTTTGGCAGAAAAAGTGACTTTGGAAAATGCAAAGGCGAGGGAGCAAGCCCCCCTCGCTCGCCCAAATCTACGAGTGGCTCCTTCAGCCTGAGAAGCTGTTGAAGCCACTACACTCGATGACTTTCACTTTGTTGCATTTGATTTACCTCGCGCTAAGAAGGGCGGGGTGGGGGCTGAGGCTGAGGCTGGTGTGCTTTTTCTCAACCGTCCCCCTGCCCCCCTTTTTCAAAATCCGCGACCAGAGGCGGCCTAGGAGCTCGCTCCTAGAACTGGGCCGGGGGCGGGGGATGGGGAGGATTTGGGGAACTCTAGGCTTTGGCTGTAAAGAGAAGCGCAGGGGGAGTGAATGGGGTGCTGCGCCTCCTCTAGGCTCTTTGGCTTGGAGAGCCAGGGAGCCGGAGCCGGAGTCAATGGCAATCTCTGCTAACGGAGGCACCCTCCTCCCTTCTACCCCCATCCTTTCTGGGTTGCAAGTCTTCTGACCTGGGACTGGATCCCCATCCTCCTCATCTCCTAGCATTAGGCTGCGCTCAGTTCCCCAGGCCAGTTTTTTTGGCCTGGAGCGGGGTGAATTGCTTGCTAAAAAGTGGGGGTTTGTTTGCCCTGGCCGGTTTGGCTTAGCGGTTGGAGCGTCGGCCTGCGGTACAGAGACACCCAGGTTCGGTTCCCGCTAAGGGCACGTACCTCAGTTGCAGTTTGTCCCTGGCCCTGGTTGGTCGTGCGGGTGGCAGCCACTCGATGTGTACCTTCACGTCGATGTTTCTCTCTCTCTCTCTTCCTCTCTCTCCCTCCCGCTCTATCTGAACAAAAAATGGAAAAATGTCCTTGGGTGAGGATAAAAAAAAAAAAAGTGGGGGTTTGAAGATGGGATGGGGTGCTCAGGCCTCCAAGATTGGGATGAGAGGAGCAAACAGCCCCGGGTCCCTCCAGGGGAGGGCGCATCGGCCCTTTTCTGGTAGACAATTGATTCTATCCCACCCTCCTCACAAGGAGATATCCTTCACCGATGCTGGTGCACACTTGCCTGCGCAAGGGAGCGTCTAAGAGGTCGTGCGGACTTGCGAGGAGGGGACAGCTATCTCTTCTATTTCACGGATTCCCCAAAATACCCGGGGTTCTGTAGCTCAAGGCCAAGCAGGTGCTCTGAAACGCCTCTGCATTGAAAGCCCACACCCTTGAGAAAATACACCTCTTCTTCCTTCCCCGGCTCCACTTTGGTGGATAGACTGGGGAGGCCGAAGCGAGGATGCTAAGCAAAGAGAGCATTCCCAGCTGACTTCCTCGCTCCCTCTAGTTGATGATCAGATTTAATTCAATATCTAAAGCAAACATGATTATCCGTGTGACCAAATCTATCTGCGCGTCAATAGCACTCAACGCTACACGCCCAGGGACTTGATTACACATTATTCCCACGTTGCCCACCCGCCTTGTATAATTGAGGGCCCAGGAGTCTTTCTAATATGCCCCTAAATATTTTTTCCCATCTGCAAGTTCATTTGGGTCTACCCAGGTTTTATTAAATGCTAAAGAGTCTTCCATTGTTTCCCACACTAGCTTAGAAACTATTCTTGCTGTTTGTAAAGGCCAGGAGAATTCTCCGCTATTCTTTTGTTGTGCAATAGTTGAATGCCCAATTTGCCCTGGTACTAACATCCCACTCTTAGCTTCCTTGTAAACCGGGAATCCACAGGGAAGGGAGGTGAGAGTTTAGAGCCTCTTGAAGTGGGACAGCCCCAAGACTACATTCTTTGGCCTCAGGGCTTCTGGAGGCCAAGATTGATCATAGGAGCTCTCAGGCTTCCAGGGAGGAAGAAGGCTGCATAGAAAGTCCAGATTCTCTCAGGTTTCCACTGTGTCTGCGTTTAGGGCAGAGGCCAAGCTGTAGGCCTGCCGTTTGGATGTGCACTGAGCGGCAAGGAGCCAGGGAGGTGGGCCTGGCACCCGCCTCTCTCTGTCCTCGGGTCCCCATGGAGTCAATAAAAGCGCCCGTGGAGCCCTGTGTGGCCCTAACCCCAGCGCCCTGAGAGCGCACCCGGCGCCGGGTCCGCTTTGGCAGTCTATCTTCGCCCAATCTACAGCGGGCCGCACAATGGGAGAGCTGGGAGCTGGGGATGTTAGAGGCGTGCATATTAAAAAGGGACAGAGAATGGATCTTAGGGGACTGAGAGAAGGGAAGAGGGAGAGGGGCCCGCCCTCCCCCCATACACCCCGCACCATTCAGCGCGCTTATCGCGGGCAGTGAATCCCGGAGTCAGGCAGAAGTCTCCTTGGGGTTTTGTTGGGCCTGTCACTGGGTCCCTTTGTCATCCGCGGGCTCCATGCTGGATTCCATATGGCCAGCTGGGCCGAGGGAGCGCTAGGAGGGACCCTCACAAAACCCAAATTGTGTCCAGCTTTCAAACCCTTTATTGTTGTCTGTGAAAGGAAGACGCATTAAAAATTCGTGCTATATCTATTCGGGAGGAGGTTGGAGGAGGGGAAAAAAAGCCACCCCTGTCTTTGATGGCTTCAGAAGGCTCTAGCCTCGCGTAGGCCCCCGTCACACTGCGAGCTGGATCTCTCTCTCTCTTTCTCTCTCTTTCTCTCTCTCTCTCTCTCTCTCTCTCTCTCTCTCTCTCTCTCTCTCGGAGAACCCCCACCCCAATCCCCGTCCTTTCTACCAAATATGGACTGTAACTCTAAGGCTTAGGCCTTCAGTGTTTGAACTCATTGAGCGCACTTTGCCCGCTCTGGTTGGTCAGAACTGGCAGCCAGGCATTCCCCGTCTGGGAGCCCCGTGTCGAAGCCGTCGGACTGTGCCGGGCCCAGGAGGAGACTGGGTGCACAGGGCCTGGGAGATGCTCGTCCTTCTGGGGCTTCACCGGTCCGGGGTAGATGAAAATCCAGTCCTCTGGTGACCGCACCGTACGCCTTCTGGCGCCCTGGCGCACGGAGCCACCATTGCACGCTTTGATGGAAAGGCTCTCGGAGAGGCCAAGGGGCCTCTCAGTCCTGGGCCCAGCTGGTTCCAAGCCACATCCACTCCGCAGCACCACTCGGTTACCAACTTCGCATCATTCTAATTACGCACAGGGATCCCGCTGGCATCTCGGTGTGATGGAAAACCAGATAAGAAACTTATTTTACCATCTCCACCTTATCCTTCTTACCCCGTGTTGGAGGAGAAAGGGACATCCTCTTTAATTATTAATTTCTCCAGCATCATTTTGTTATCAAAACTCACTGACAGAGACAGAGCAAAGCTTCCAAGGAAGTTGCCCGTTTTTGCTTCACCTAAGCAGTCTAAGTTAGTTCCTGGCAGTAGGAGATCTTTTGGGCCATGTCCCTCCCCAGTAACTGGGTCAAAATTTTCCATAAGCATCAACAAACAAACAAACAAACAAATACGAGCTAAACAGAGTTCATGCTGAGAACCATGGAAATAAAAACAGAACCCAGGTGTGCCCCCCCCCCCCCCAGCTTGGGCAAAATGACTCAGCCCTAAGGAGCACAACAGAGATGGAAATTACAGCTAATCCAAAATTTGGACACTTCCCCTTTTCCTAGTTATTACTACTGTCATATTTAGTACAATCAAATAACTTGATAAGAGTAAGAACCCCCTTCTCAACTCCAGACTCCCTCTCCAGCCAGGGAAATCACTTATTTTTATTACCTATTGACTGTTGGGCTTAGCTGAGACCTGGTGTGGATTTCTCCAGCCTTTTCAAGAGCCTGGTCATTGAAAAGCTAATCCAATATTTACTGAACATAAGGACAGTCTCAGACATATTTATTAAGACCCATGTCTAAGTGATTACTTATACTGAAGACATAGGCCAGGGGAGGGGCATCCAGGAGATCCAGGTCCTGC